ATTATACCATTCATGTCAGTTTAAAATTTGTGGGCTGGTTCTAGTTCTTTCCCTTTATTACAGGGCAGCATTGGAGTGGTCATCCAGTTCTCAAACAGCCTTTAGTTTAAATTAACAGACTAGTGTGTGCATACTCGCATACACAAATGTCATTTTAATAGGATACTTGTGCATTAGTTCCGTGCAAGATAGTTCATCTTTTAGATTCATTTACACATGAATCATGATACAATGTTGTAATTGCTGGAAGCCTTGACAGATTATGAGCTGTTAGATTCATTTTTCTACAAGCAGTGGGTCAGAATGATTTCATTCTGCGTGAATTTTATGTTTATCATTGGTATGTTGGAACATAGTTGTGACAGATACAAGTTCTGGTTTCCACTTATGCAGAGAACAAAAGTGATCTCTGATCTGCTGATATCTGTTTCGAAAGCAGAAAGGCAGGAAGCAAGGTTAAAAGTACGACAGGACTCTTTGAGGCTTGGCAATGTGGGTGTCATCAGGTAATGCATCATTTTATTTTAGCTTCTATATTTGGTACTTTGAAAGGGTTCTTCATGCTTGAGGGATTTCTTTATCTTTTGGTTTCAAAATTTTTATGGGCTCCTCTCAGCCTAGTGATTCCATTTTTCTTTATATATTCGCAAATAATTTTCTTTTTCCATTCCAGAGCTGGAACTGTCATATCTGAGACATGGGAAGATGGGCAAGCTTTGAAAGATCTCAATGCTCATCTTGTATGTTCTTATCTGACATTTTTCTTTTTCATGCAACTATGTTTATGTTTATGTTTATGTTTATGTTTAGCCACAGGGAACTTTTCTACTTTGATGGCGTTCTTTTTGTCCACTTATCAAATAATATGAACCCTTTTGCAAATAGAATTGCATTTCATAATGCTTGAACCAGAAAGGGCTAGAAAAGAAAAGGGTCAGTTGAGAAAAACAATGACAGTATTTATTGTTTCCCCAGCAAGGTCACATTAGGATTCCAGACTACTTAAGGGAGAGGATCACATTTTCTTTTCTCTCTACAAATGCTGTCGTTTAATAAATTATTGATCGTTGTACCTTTTCTTTTAGATATGGCATTTATTAACATTGTTATGTTAATTTTCTAGAGACAATTATTAGAAACTAAGGAGGCTGTTGAGCGGCAGCGAAAGTCATTGAAGAAAAAGCAAAGTGGTAAAGTTCTTATGCATGACTGTTCTTATTACCTTTCTCATTTTGGTTACTTTGGTTTAAACCATGTTCCAGGAATTTGATCATTTTTTGGGGTCAATGCAATTTAATTATATGGTGTCTGTTGGATTTAAGCTCCATTTCACTTTCTCTCTGTCTCTCTCACTATCTATCTATCCTTTGGATTTACGGATTTTCAATTTCTGAAGATAAGGGTGATGGAGTTGATGCTGAAACTGGAATGCAAGAAGAACTTCTAGTCCAGGATGAGATCTATAAATCCCGTCTAGCCAGCATCAAACGAGTAAGCTTACTAGTTTCTTTAATTTATGTTTTGGATTTTTCCGTTCTCTATTTATTTTCATTAGGAAGTCCTTGCTTTCTCATTTGTTTGTCATTCAACTATGGACTTCTGTAGGAGGAGGAAGTTATCCTGCGTGAAAGAGACCGATATGAACTGGAGAAGGGAAGGCTTATACGTGAAATGAAACGCATACGAGATGAGGATGGTTCCCGTTTTAACAATTTTCAGATTCTCAACCACAGATATGCCCTCTTAAATCTCCTTGGCAAGGGGGGATTCAGTGAAGTTTACAAGGTCGGAACTTTGTGAATTTTAATATCTAAAATTATTTCCACTAAGTTATAGTAAATGTTATATTTTGGAAGAAAAGTCTAGATAATTCATTTGCCAATGTTGGCAATTGTAAAGAAATACCTTTTTGCAGTGATTTGAAGTGAGAAATTTCCAGCAGGCATTTGACTTGGTAGGGCATAGATATGTTGCATGTAAACTTCATGGTTTAAATGCTCAGTGGAGTGAAGAGAAGAAGCAAAGTTACATACGACATGCAATCCGGGAGTACAATATACACAAGACTTTGGTGCATCATCACATTGTTCGACTTTGGGACATTTTTGAGATTGATCAAAATACATTCTGCACTGTCTTAGAGTATTGCAGTGGTATTTATACCATCAACATTCTGTCCTTTGAATAATCTTAAAAAATTCTTGTCTCATTCTTTCTTCATCTTCTTTTTGGTTTTATTGATATTTCCTTGTGTACCCTCAGGGAAAGATCTTGATGCTGTCCTTAAAGCAACACCTGTGTTACCCGAGAGGGAAGCTAGGATCATTATCTTTCAGATATTTCAAGGTCTTATATACTTGAACAAAAGAACACAGAAGATTATACATTATGATTTGAAGCCTGGAAATGTCCTATTTGACAAACTCGGGGTTGCAAAAGTGACTGACTTTGGTCTTAGCAAGATAGTGGAGGATGATGTCGGATCCCAGGGTATGGAACTAACATCCCAGGGTGCTGGGACTTATTGGTAAGTGACGCAAGTCAGCTTATGTACACATGCAGGATTACATTTTCTTAAAGAAAAGAAGTTCAGCTTCCCTTGGGAATTTGTAACGACGTTTGAACTTGAAAATTAGATTCTTCACCTTAATATATTTATGTAGTCCTGTTGAGTTTTTGGCTGCTACTGTGTCTTCCAGTGGCTCTCCTCTGTCTTCTTCTCCTTGACATTTTTGTACATTTGGTTTAAGTAGCAGAATATTTAATAATTCCTTATTGCAGGTATTTACCTCCTGAATGCTTCGAGCTCAGCAAGACACCTCTTATATCATCGAAGGTTCATGACTTTAATAAATTTGTATCTCATAGATAAATTTTCTGTTTTATATCAATTTTGCTATAGCCTAGTTTAGACATGTAAATTTCATTGCGTACTAGACTACAGATAGAATTGGTGTCCCCAGAATCTTCTTATTTGGAAAAGAACTTGTCAGAAAGCCAAACTGTTTCTCCTCTGACCTTTATTCTCCTCAACTTGGGTCCCAAGGTTTTTTTAACAGTCTCTTGGAAAGCAGGTTGACGTCTGGTCAGCAGGTATTCTGTTATACCAAATGCTATTTGGAAGACGCCCTTTTGGGCATGATCAGACCCAGGAAAGAATACTACGGGAGGACACAATTATTAAAGCTCGAAAAGTTGAATTTCCATCCAGACCTGCCATCTCAAATGAAGCAAAGGTGAGTTGTGCTCGTAGTTGGTACATCATGCTTAGTTTTTCTTTGATGGAAGTAGTTGGTTTTTAGAAAAATCTATCTTGTTCTTCAAGATAAATGATATAACCTGGGAAACAAATTATGCATGGGCTGCTCACTGGACCAAACATCGTCCTGGAATCTAGAGTCGACCAGTTGAGAAAAAAATAATATACAAGTCAAAGTCAATCCAAGAGGTTTTTGTTTATGTATATGGGCTTTAGAAAGACGGTTTTTTTTTAGAGTTTTATAGTATTGGTAGGTGTTTTTATCTTTAGGAGCCTATTGTATATCTATGAGACTACGGGTATTTTAAAGCAGAGAAATTTTGATGAATGAAAAATATTATTGAAGGACTTGGTTTCTTGAAGGCTTGGTACCTTAACATGGTCATCTATAGCAACATTTTTAGCAGTTCCTCAAACTTGTTTTCTCCTATAGTTATTTGATTACAAAAATACTGCCATATTAGAAGACCATAACCATAGTCAGCACAGCACCCACCTAGTGGCGTCCTACCTCGAACGGATTGAGGCTGATATGATTTAGTTGCCAATAAACAAGATACTGTAGGGTTCATCCCCTTAACTCTCCACATTTATTGATGGACATGTTTAGGTGAATTCTGAGCAACTTGGTGATACCATTTTGCATATTTCTGTTTGCAGGAATTTATTCGCCGTTGTCTAACATATAATCAAGCAGAGAGGCCAGATGTTATAGGGATTGCTCAAGATCCATTTCTCACATACTCAAAGAAGTAAATCTTTACAGCTAAGAAGACCCGAGAGCTGGGCGCCGCAGGATTTTGTTTGCTTTCCTGCAATACCCACAAGGAATTTTGTACAGCTTGTAAAGGTTTGTTACTCATTGTTGCTGTGGTGTACTTCCCTACGGGTGAAGGCTGTAGATTTGGTTATTCAGCAGCCTAGGTATGCTTCTGAGTTATTCTTTTTTTTTTTTTTGATCATGCGTTGGCACTCTCGTTTTGGGAAGAAAAATAGTGTAAAGAGTAGGTTTACATGAAAGGATTCTGAAGCTTCGCTTTGGTAATCTTGTACGAATGGCGGGGATAAATTTTTTGTTGTCCTCTATGATGCAATGCAACTTTGATCTCTGTATAATGTACTTTTGTTTTTTTGGACAAACTATAAAATGTAGTTAGAAAGTTGAATTCTATCTATATAATGTAGGACTGAAATGAAAGAAAAGGCAGTGATTTACGTTTTGTTCATAGAAACCACCCTCAGTTTGATGGAGTTGTAATTGCCTTAGGTGGAATGAATTTCATTACCAAGGATTTAAAAAAAAAAATGACCGTGATTCTTACCCACACACATTCATGTGTTTATTAACAACCAAACAATTGTTATTTTTATTTTTCGTAAAATACTCGTCTTATGGATGTCCGGCTCATCAACAAGTCACTCTTGGAGTTAAAGCTTTTTTGTTGGTCAGATCTAGGTATGAGCGCTGTTTAGTTTGACATTAAAATATTACCCAACTAGCTAGTATTTAATGCTTCGATTTGGTTTGGTTTGACCAAACCAAACCATTTTGAAATCGAACCAAACCAAACCATTTTTAATCGGTCGCTCTTATTTCTTCCTAACTTTGTGTTATGTATTAGTCAAGTTGACAAGTTGTACATACGGTCGACTAGTATACGGCTACATAACATACCGACGCCCAAGAGCCGCATAAATATTATCCCATATGTTTACTATTTAGACGAGAGAGTTGTACGTACTACTCCGAATCCAGTTATGGCATTATCCTTCTTCTCTTCCACAACTGCAGTTACATGCTCAAAGCTCCATCACAATCCAGCCCTTCAATTCAACACCATGAACTCCCATAAACAAAGCTCGAATGCCGTCTGTGCCATGGCGGAGCCACCACCAGAGTCTGGGTTGCCGGCAAGGAAATCCAACCTTGCCGTAGGCTCTCCAATAATCGTAACTGAAGCTCCCAGAATGATAAAAACTGCAGCATCCGTTCCATGCCTCCGGGTTAACTCCGGCTTAGTCAAACCGGGTGACGTCGGAAGGTAATTAAGCAATTAATTAGATGTTTAACTTGTTTTAGCAATATCAAATTATCAATGTGTGAACGTGTGTGTGTGTGATATTTCTTGGTGCAGAATTGTGTCAAGAAAGCCAAAGGATGTGTGGGCAGTACGGCTTTCAATTGGCACTTACCTCATTGATGGGAAATACTTCAAGCCCTTGGAGTTGGACCTTGACCAATAGACTAGTGATTTTTGTATTTTTATTTTACCTGCTCATGTTATTATTAATACATTTTCCATAGTATTAAATTGACTGCATCTAGTTAGTAATGTAAACTTTTACTAGGGGTGAGCATGGTCCAGTGCGGTACGGTTTTGGGGTAAAATTGAAATCGAACTGAAAGCTATTTTGGTTTGATAGTGTGCACTGAAATGAAACCAAACAATTCGGTTTTGGTTTGGTTCAACGGTTTTAATTTAGTTCCGGACGCGTTAAAAAATTGGCTTACCTGGCATGCTTATTTGGTTTTGGGGTTCTCAACTAAATGTTTTATTTTATTTTATTGTTTCTTTCAATTTGTTTTAGTCCTCAAATAGGAGAGAAGAACATTTTATAGTAAGTAAAACAAAAATCAATTTGGTATGTGTTTCAATTTCGGTTTTCGGTGCCCACCCCTATTGATTACTACGAAGGACTAACTTTGTGTCAAGAAACTTGATCCATACTCACAAATTGGACATGAAAATGGGTTTTAGCCTGATGGGTCATGGGTATCCATGTTAAGGCAATTGTTAATGTTGAGTCAAAAGCCAATTTGAAATTCATAGATACTTTTTGTTTCTTTAATTGAAGTTCATTTTTTTCTTCCTTTGTTGAAGAATAATTCATTCTCAAAATTTTGAGATGAATTTATCTTCTTAGTTGCAATTAAATTCTTATCATCAATTGAAACTCAAAACTTAATTCATGAAATTAAATTACTAAAAAATCGCAATCAAACTCTTCATTGTCTCTCCAAAATAAAATAAACAATAATTTCATGAGAATTTTAACGAAACACTTCTGATACTGTTCACTTTTAGCAAAAATGACATTTTTACTCTAAAAAGTCACTTCTGGTACTATTCACGTACAACATTTTTTTATCATTTTGATTAAAACTTAAAATTTTCAAGTCATTTCCATTCGTTTCTTCATCATCTTTAGTCTGCTACTCACGTTTGAAATCCAGTGCTTGACTCCTTGCAACGTAAAAAACATTCAACGAAAGAAAGTTAAAGTGCAAACATGTGACCAAATTTATCCTCAACATTGACATCGACATTGTCATCAAATGTGCAAGACGAATTCTTTTTGGAAGTCAAATCTGACAACATTAAAAAAAAAAAAAGTTAATAAACCTAATAAGAAAATATAATCAATGATTTCTCTTAATATCTCGTAACATACTCCAAATGCTATCTCGTGCACACATCAAAGTTTCTATAGTATTTGATTGGAAACGGCAATGTTGTGGAGCCACAATTCTTCTGCAGGTACTGAAAGCTGCCTCTGAAGCAACTGTAAAGACATGATTCGTCTAGTAATTTTACACAACGTTCGTATTGTGTCACAATATTTGTCAAACTTTATCGACATTATACCATATCCAACCTTTGGGTTACAACATAAATTTTTTATCCCAAAAACAGTTTTTCTGCTCTAATCCTTATGAGTTAAATTTTTAGCCCCAAAATATTAAATAATGAATTTAGGCTAATTTTTTTTAAAGTAACTTAAAAAAAATATTATGTAGAATATCCTAATTTAATTTTATAAACATTTTAACCTAAAAATATTTAGATTTCGATAAATATTGAAAAATCACTAAACCGACACCATGAAACGCTATGGAAGAATATGAAACACATGATTGAAATGTATAAACACGAAACACATGAAACATATATAAAACACATGAAACGCATATGAAATTGTTGACCTTAAAAACTACCAAACCTACGTGGCACGCAGGCCGAGTGATTAATAAGCTAACTACGTCCTTCGGTTGTGTGCAGGGCGTGCCAACTCGTCGACCGAGCTCGGCCGGGGAGTAGAATGTGTTGCGTGGCATTGGGCGCGCTGCTAACTTCTTAATCTTGCGACTACGGCTAAGGAAGGAACACATCTTGGCCTTCGGGTTCTAGAGCCTAAAGACAAGGTTGCTAGTCCTACGAAGTTCACAAGTCGCTGGCGCCTGATTTGGTCACAGTGATTATATTCGTAAAAGTATAAGCACGCCGAATTGACACCAAACTATATAGGCACAAATACTCAAAGAAAATGTACTTCTTAACCGTAAACGTAGTTCGGCCGTTAGAATGCTGAACTTTAAATCTCACTTATGAGTATCCAATCATAAAATAACTCGGCATTCAATGTGCCGAGCCCAGTAATCTGTAACACCCCACTTCGCCAAGAAGGCTGATGAGATGACCTCTACCAACAAAGATTCGAAAACCCTTGTCGATCAAGACTTGGATAAGTAATCAACCGACTAAGATGCATTGTTGTTTATCCAAACTGAAGATGCTCCACAATTGGCTAATTCTACGACAATAGTGTTGTTTATCCAAATTGAAGATGTCACCGGTTGCCTTCACAGTGATGTTTATCCAAACTGAAGATGTGTTAGCGGAAAAAGGAAAATAAAAATCTCCAGGTTGTTAAAAGGTTTCGTGTAGAGCGAGAGTTTGCGCATGGCAGTCTTGTGTGTTGAATTGGAAGAGCTTTTCTGTTACAGCACACCTTGTTTTTATAGTATCCATATTTTCTGCTTGGCAAGGTACGATAATATTGTAGAGTCCAGCTACAACTCAAACTCGCAGAGCAAAAATTGATCCGTGTTAGATGCCTATCCTTCAGATTGCTATCCATGGCTTTTCAAACAAAGCAAAAACCTATCTAGGCTTCTAGGCTTATCACATCATAATCAGAACTCATATTAATGCCTTGCTTTATCCCCATTAAGACTCCCAATGCAACTATAAAGCTTTCTTTTTCCATGACATCTGTTCAGGTGCAACCGTGCATGCAATGTGAATTGCAATATGTCACTATAATCCAACTCTTGCACGGCATTAGTCAAACATCTAGTCAATCTCATCCAAATCCCCTTGTCTTCTTATCTTACAAACATTTAATTTTGATGAAAATTATTGTTTAACTAGATAGAAAGGTTAACGAATATCCCTTTCGGACGACACTTTTCATCATCCTTGCTACTTCAAAACCATCTGATTAAATACCTTGCCGTAGGAGTCTCGAAGTTGGAGATATCGTTTGCATCCCATTTATCTTGTTGTGTAAGAAAATATCAAGATGAATCCCATTAAAAGATAATTATTATGATAAAAACCATAATATTATCCTTTAATAATAACAAAATTATATTCACTCTTCCATCCAACGATTGAGAGTTCTGCTCAATTAAAGGTCTTGATTGCACGGACAGATGGTGTAAATTTGAGTCCAAACAGAAACACACAAAACACATACTAAATACATACTGAACACATGAAACACAAACCTACATACATGAAACACAAACCTTCAATCTTCTTCTATATAAACATAAGTTGAATATCTAACCATCACACAACATATTCACCAATCATCCATCTTTCATAGTGTTTCTGTTCCCTCAAAATCATTCTTTCATAGTGTTTTTCTTTCCTCAAAATCATCAATATCTCATTAATAGGTGATAGAAGAAGGCGTATCTTAGCGATGCAAATGACACAATACCTAGCAAACGTTGCAGCTAAGGAAGAAGAAATCAACAACAAAGATGTAGAATTTGCAAACTCACTTATACAATATGGACACCATACCGAGTCTAGCTATAGTGGTTCTGTCACAGGCCGTTCATTTGTGCAGCATGATAAAGAAGAGTGTCATGACCGGATGATGAAGGACTATTTCATCGAATGTCTAAGATATCATTTTCATGGTTTTTGGAGGCGGTATTGAACGAGGAAAGAGCTTTTTGAAAGCATTTTAAACGTAGTTGTCCACTATGACCGCTACTTTGCAAGGGCCTCCATTCAATTATGATAACGTGCATAATTTTGCACAACATGATTGTTGAAGAATGAGTGTAGAAATTGATAAAGATTCGGATGAAGAAGTGAATAACGACCTACCAACATATGCGAGAGCTATGGCAAGCGGGGTTGAATATCTCACTATGACCACATACTAGACCCGACAGGATAGTATCACACTTGGTGAGTACATGAGATTTCTTAATAGAATTCAAACTCTTCAAGGACATGACACTCCAAATGGATTTAGTTGAGCATATATGGCACTAAGAAGGAGAACATTGATAATTTTAAATGTGCTAGTATGTTTGAATTAAATTTAAGTGTGCTAGTATGTTGGTAATAATTTTAGGTGAGTACATGTGTACAACAATGTGGCATCAAGTCTTTTGCCAAAAATCATACAAAAATACATCATTATTATTATTGAAGGCATCAAGTCAGATCTTGAAAGATTCAAGTCTTCTGCCAAGAACCAAACAAAAATGCATCATTAGCAATTAGCACAATTAATAGAAACAATACTAAATAAAATAACAATTAATACAACATCAATTAGCACAAATAGGATCTTAAAAGAATAAACCATAATTAATAGAAACAATAATTAATAAGTCATAATTAATAAAAACGATCATTAATAAATTACATAAAACTAATACAAACAATAACTAATAAACTACATAAAATTAATACAAATGATAATTATTAAACCACATAAAAATTAATACAACAATTTAGTGAATCATAATAATATTGACCACCTAGACTTGAGGTGGATTTTGTGGTGTACTTGGGATAAAGGCTTGAGATGAATCATCATCTTGAAAGATACTTCTTGTGGCATTTTTTCGTATAATTTCAGTTTGCTTATCACAGAAGAACTTCCTACGTGGAGTGTATTTGTTGAGGTCCTCTGTCATTATTTCACAATCGAAGCTTTCTTAGTCCATTTTTGCTTGCTTCTCAAAGGCCAATCACATTCAAATCACTTTTTCCTCCCTAGAGCTATGGCTTTAGGTCAATTTTGCAAATCCGGAAGAAATTGTTGCACTAAGCGGATCTTGCATCTTCCCTTTTCTTTTTACTTCCCTTTGTTTATCTCTTTCGAGGGCCTTGCAAAAGAAGTTGGGGTCACTGAATCGACACATTCTAACATTTGTGCTTGTGGCTTCACTACCAAATAATTTTCCCCATTGTTGGTCCACATTGGTTCCCCACCTTGGACAATCCTTGAGGACATCCCAAGCATGATGCAACTTAAAAGCTTGATTTTTTGGCGTAGTTCTTGTCTTGTAAATTGTCATTTATCACCTTATGTAAGGAATACATAAATACTATTAGTTGCAAATAAAATTATGTACATGA